TACAGCTGCAGAAATAGTTTGTGTTTTTGTATTTACTCATAAGTAAGAGTCACGTTATCAATGTGAGGCACACGTCAAGCCTCTCTCAAAACTGTTAACACCTTGAATTTTGTCATGGACATAACTTGAGAACTATTAAAGCTATCAACTTGAAACATTGTAATTAGATAGATCGCACTTTGTAGAAGTGCACTGCTGAAGAACGAACTTTTACCCTGCCTACCCTAATTTTGGAGTTATTGCCCTTTGTTTAATTTTACACTTTGAACTTTGTCCAGGACAAAATTGAGAACTACAAAAGCTATCAACATGAAACTCTGTAGGTACATGTAGATACATCTGTCTGAGTAGAAGTGTAGAAATCTCAATGTGAAAGAATGTATTGCCCTTAAAAGAAGTCATGAAAATTCGTTTTTCTGACAAGCGCGTGTAGGGGGTTTTCGGCGCTTGTGACAATTTTAGTTTGATGTGTTGCTCACTTTTCTTTATATTGCTTTATTTTTTTCTTTTAGTTAGGCTTTTATCTGGCTATTCCCTTTAAAAGAACAGTAGAATGGTCACATCAACAATATACATTGCTTCTACATAGTATAGTCTATACACTTGGTGTATTGAAGTTGTCTGTCACGAGCCCACTTGCTCAGTAGGCCAGAGGTTCGGGTAAACCGATCTTTCCATGGCCGCATTTGATTGAAAGACATTGTATTCTTTGACACCATTTAGTCCTTCCTGTCGGGGCCCGCATCTGTCAAAAGAAACGTATTGGTCACACCATGTGGGACCATATTTTGCCGGATTAATACAGCTGTGTTTTATTGCCATTATTACGTTTCTGCAAAATTTGGTCGTAACATGCCCTGATCCTTATATTGCTAACCACATTTTTCCACATTTATCACCGTCGTTTTAATCTACCTTCATCAACGTAAATAATTCATCATCATCATCATCAACAACAACAACAAACACATCATCATCATCATCATCAATGATGTATCATCATCATCACAAATCGACAATATATTTGTTTAAGTCCATGCCGCCTTGCTTATCATTTTACCATTAAGATGATTACTGTATCAGTACAGTGTGACTGGCTTTGTCGAAAAGATGTGCAAAATATTTTGGAGATTAATATTTATTGACTTGAAGATAAAATATCGAATTTTATGCCCAAACTCTGAGGGGGAGGGGGAAGGGTTAAACTTTTTACCCGTGCCTGAGTATGTGTGTCTGGCCGTCCCAGAATCTTAAGTGTTGCTATATTAATAATTTAGTTAGGGTCATAAAATTTTAAATGAACGTTGGTCAGCATTATGTTATTGTGCTTCTGGGATTTCGCTTGTCGATCGGGCAGTCATGCCAGAGTAATTGCCCTTGACTAAGTCATATCGGAAATTGTCAACTTGTGTCGTGTGTAGCATCAACAGTATTTGAACTAGGGGCATGGTCGTGATACTTGTAAGCTTATCTAACGCACACAAAACGTGATTTTGACATGTACTTTACAATAACGTTATCCCACTAAATAGAATTAATTGTTTAACGCCGTGACTTAGATCTAAGCAAAATATTTTTCTTTAATCACGAAAAACCGATTTTTAAACATTTTCATGACACTGCAAACCAGATGTATAATTTTACAGTGGTGAGTACGAAAGGGGATAGTATGAATGGCGTTCTGTTCACACTCCAGATTTATAACTTGCTCCTCAAACGTTATGTTATGCCTAAAACCATCATTGTTTATAGATGACGATTGAATGCGTTGAGGTTTTTTCAAATTAATTGTTTGACATACTTAAGAATGCATTCTACATTTGCTTTTAGCATGGTTGTATGATCCATTAAAGCTCTAGCAAGATGTGTTTTTTTCCTGATGAATCACAAAGTATGGATGATACAATAATAACTCTAAAGGTGTTTTATAAGTGGATAACTTTTATTAATCGCATAAGAGTCTCCTTCTTGGAACTAACTGGTTTCAAATGAGGAATCATAGTCGTAATCCGAGTCGGGATCTAGCCAACAATTCTAGGGTTGAGAGGCAAACATTTTAGCCATTTGGCCACCACACCACTACCCCTTATTATTCTATCATCCATACTTTGTGATTCATCAGGAAAAAAACACATCTTGCTAGAGCTTCGTGACACATATGCTACAACCATGCAAAAAGCAAACGTAGAATGCATGCTAAAGTATGTCCAACATTTTTTTGAAACAACTTCAATCGTCATTTAGAAACATACAATGATGGTTTTAGGCATAACATAACGTTTAAGGAGCAAGTTATAAATCTAGACTGTGAACAGTACGTCATTCAAACACCAAGTGTATAGACTATACTATGTAGAAGCAATGTATATTGTTGATGTGACCATTCTACTGTTCTTTTAAAGGGAATAGCCAGATAAAAGCCTAACTAAAAGAAACAAGGGGGCCATGATGGCCCTGGAACGCTCACCTGACACAACCGCATCCAAGCAAAGTCTTAGACAAGCATCATGGCCAAGTTTGATGACAACTGAAAAATCAAACATGTGGCCTCTAGTGTGTTAAAAAGGTTTTTCCATATTTGGGCAATGTGACCTAATTTTTGACCGGACACGACCCATATTCAAATTTGACCTAGAAATCATCAAAACAACCTACCTGACCAATTTCCAGGAAATTTGGATCAAAACTGCAGCCACAAGAGTGTTTACAAGATTTTTCTATTTTTAGCTCCTGTGACCTAGTTTTTGACCGGACATGACAAATCTTCGCACTTGAACCAGAAATCATCAAAACAATCTTCCTGACAAATTTCCAGAATATTTGGTTCAAAACTGCAGCCACTAGAGTGTTAACAAGCTTTTTCTATTTTTAGCTCCTGTGGCCTAGCTTTTGACCGGAGATGACCCATCTTCGAACGTGACCTAGAAATCATTGAAACAACCTTCCTGACAAATTTCCAGAATATTTGGATGAAAACTGCAGCCACTAGACTGTTAACAAGCTTTTTCTATTTTTAGCTCCTGTGACCTAGTTTTTGACCGGACATGACCCATCTTCGAACTTGACTTAAATATCATCAAAACAACCTTCCTGACAAATTTCCAGTATATTTGGATGAAAACTGCAGCCTCTAGAGTGTTAACAAGCTTTTTCTATTTTTAGCTCTTGTGACCTAGTTTTTGACCGGAGATGACCCATCTTCGAACTTGACCTAGAAATCATCAAAACAACCTTCCTTCGTGGTCAGGTGAGCTAAAAATTAAAGCAATATAAGGAAAGGTGAACAACACATCAAACTAGAAATGTTCACAAATGCCGAATACCCCCCCCCCCCTACACGCGCTTGTCAGAAAACATTTTTAGTTAATAATTTCGCTCATAGGGAAAATGGATTAGTTTTTTATTTAGCTACTTCTGTGCTTTTGCTACTGCTGCGCTACAGCAATTGCTGCAGTACTGCTACTGCTGCGTTACCGCCAACTTCACGCTCTATAATTTTGCTACCGCTACTGCTACTGCCAACTTCATGTTTTATCATTTTAATACTGTTTCTGCTGTGCCACTGCTACTGCCAACTTTACGTTTTATAATTTTGCTACTGCAACTGCTGTGTCACTGCCACTGCCAACTTCACGTTTTGTAATAAAGCTACAGTCGCTTCGCAAGCTCCGCTCCTTATTAGCTTTCTTATTTGCGAAGAACACCCAATATGCACTCTAACCTATACGTGTTTATTATCATTTTACTACTGCTACTGCTGTGCAATTGCTTCTGCTACTGCTTATTAAATGTTTTATAATTTTGATACTGCTACTGCTGTGCTATTGCTACAGCCAACTTCACGATTTATAATTTTGCTACTGCTACTGTTGCGCTACTGCAAATGTTGCGCTACTGCTACTGCTCTGCTACCGCCAACTTTACGTTTTATCATTTTGCTACTGCTACTGCTGTGCTACTGCTACTGCCAACTTCACGTTTTATAATTTTGCTACTAATGTGCCGATGCTACTGCCAACTTCACGTTTTATCATTTTGCTACTGCTACTGTTGTGCCACTGCTACTGCCTGCCTCCCGTTTCATGATTTTGCTACTGCTACTGCTGTGCTACTACTACTACCAATTCACGTTTCATAATTTGCTACTGCTACTACTGTGCCACTTCTCTACTGTCAACTTCGTGATTTATAATTTTGCTACTGCTGTGCCATTGCTACTGCCAACTTCACGTTTTTTGTTTTTGTTTTTTTTTTTTTTTTTTTTTTTTTTTTTTTTTTTTGCTTCTGCTCCTTCTGTGCTTATGCTGCTGCCAACCTCGAGTTTTATCATTTTGCTACTGCAACTGCTGTGCTACTGCTGCACCACCGCTACTGCCAGCCTCACGTTACATGATTTTGCTACTGCTGTGATACATGTACTACTTCTACCAATTCACATTTCATAATTTTCTACTGCTACTGCTGTGTCACTGCTACTGCCAACTTCACGTTCTATTTATTTATTTTTTGCTACTGCTACTGCCAACTTCACGTTTTATAATTTTGCTACTGCTACTGCTTTGCAACTCTTACTGCCACTTTCACGTTTTATAATTTTGCTACTGCTGTGCCATTGCTACTGCCAACTTCACGTTTTATAAGTTTGCTACTGCTAGTGATGTGCTTTTGCTACGGATACTGCCAATTTAATTTTTATAATTTTGCTACTGCTGTGTCACTGCTACCGCCAACTTCACGTTTTGTAATTTTGCTACAGCTGTGCCACTACTACTGCCAACGTCACTTCAAATTTTGCTACTGCTGTGCTGCTGCTCTGCAACTGCTACTGCCAATTTCAAATTTTATAATTTGGTACTGCTATTTCTGTGCTACTGCTGTGCTACTGCTGCGCTACTGCTACTGCCAACTTCACGTGCTGTGTCACTGCTAACTGCTACTGAAAATTTTTAACCGACCGACCATTTACATATAAGAAGGGAAAATGAAAGAGAAAAGACATACTGGCATCACCTGGATTTTATTATTATCTAACTTGAACAAAATTAATATCTACATCAATAAAATCGATCTCGCCAGAGATTAAAATTGATACCAAATTGGGTACTGCAGCTCCTCACATTGTTTTTTGTAAATCTGTAATGAAAAAAGAGGGCCATGATGGATTACCTATCTCCGTGACCATACGACGCTTTTCATGGAATGACAAAAACATGTCTCGTTGAAGGTTCCATGATAACCGTCATATGAACACATTCACGGATGTTTATGAATTCAAATTTCACCACTTCCATGAATAAATGTTGAATTCTGCTAAAACCGGTGCTAGGGGTAGTGGACGATAGCTTGCTGTTATTAGTATCGCCCATGAACAGGATCATTCAAACACACACTCAACCTTTTCAATATTGCCCTTTTACTTAAAAGGGTAATATTTTTATAACAGTAAGTATATCATTTGTTAACATTTGGTTGGAGCAATTTTGTCAATAAGGTTATCATTTATATAACTTTATAAGAAGTCCACTAGGCAATGTTACATGATTAATATCAGAGTTCTGTAAAATAAATTTTCAAGAAAGTTTAAAATGTCTTCCTATATAAGTCTAACTAAGCTATGTCGCCTCTAAAACACATATTTCGAAAAGCCGCAAAAGTTGTGCTACATTCAAAATATTTAAGCTCTGCAATTGGCAGTTTCTTTAGAGACCGGTTTTTTTTTTAAATCCCCAAATGGCAAGATTTATTTTTGTAGAAGTTCACAAGGCAATGCATTTTGCCAATGCACAAGTTCTGGAACATGTTTGGCATATTGCCTTGTTCAGGTTGAAATTTGAACCAAGATGATAAGCTGAAATAAATTCTAGAACTTACATCAACCCCCCCCCCCCCCGCACACAAAAGGGAAAATTAATAAGAAATTAAAAATAACAAAACGTAAATGTGAATTTAAAATGATACCGTGTATGAACATCACGCTGTAGGAACACGTTTTCCTGAATGCTTTCAAATGAAGTGTTCAAACATAAAAGTGTTGACATCTTCACTCTCTTTATTTCCATAAGCTCAGCTGGAAATTGAATATAAAATATATGCAATGTTAGAGCAAAGGATAATCATTCAAAAATGCCAAATGATATATCTACATAGCTTTTCAACAAATCTTGTTCACTAACACTACGGTGTTTGTGACGTCACTATATGAAAGGAAAATATTTCCTTTTCATCGTATGTTTTGGATTTAGCCATAAAGTGGTAATTTGTTCCCTATATAATGATTCTTTTTATTCCTCTATCAAATTAAACGTGTTTACATGCAACCGCAGCTATGAAACAAAAATAAATAGGTGAAAATCGCATGCTCAGTTTGGATTGATCTGGGGCCTTATTCATTAAACTCCTTAGTTTCTATGGGAAATATTTCCTTATCTTGAAGGAAACTCCCTACTAAACTTTGAAGTCAAAAATCCCTGAGGCAAGAAATTCCTTAATTTTATTTTTGTCTTAAGGAGTTTTATGCAACTAAGGAAATTCTTTAAAACTAAGGGAAATCTAACGTATTTTAAGGAAAATCTTAGAATCTTAAATTTTTCCCTTAGGAGCTTTGTGAATTCGGCCCCTGTTCAACAAAATCTGTATAATTATGTAGTATAATATTTCGCATGCACTCTAGCACCGTCTTTAGCCGTATATAACATTTCCCTCCGATAAATGTAATGCAGTTCGTGGAAAACGTTACATTACATTGTAACTGTACACAACACTTACACTTTTGTACGTTGACAAGAAAAATAACACAAAGAATAATTGAATATGTTAGTGTATGAATCAACTGACTATTTCAATATTTTACTCAAAATGTGATGATTTTAAAGAAATGGCACTATTTAGAAAACTGTAAAGTTTCACCCAGAGTAAATAAAAAAATATTTGTAAACCTTTATCATTACGAGTCTTTATAGTTTTTAACTTAAGCAATTGCATTTTTAAAGATTGTTTTGTTTCTCTTTTGTAGAATAAAAAACTAATAATATCCTGGAATTCTGTGACAGTTTTTTTTTTAAGAAAACATGAAAAGTCATCAGAAGAATATCATATTTCGTGTAACAGATCCTGTCACATGTATTTTAAAACATTGTATGTGAAAGGCAGCTATTAATTCCCATACAAACACAACTCATCGTTCTACTAATTTTCTTTCTCTGACAAATATTTTGTCCCACTCATTTTGTATTTGTAATCGTGCTTTTTTATTTCATTTGTGATATAGAAATAATATAACATGATGAAATACTATGTTATCAGGAGTTTGAGGATAGAAAACCTTTGGCAGACATTGAAAAGCAGACACACACTCCAAAATCAGTGCCTCCAGCGCTTTGATCTAGATAAAGGCTCAGTGTTTCAGCCAAACTTGTTTAATGCATCATATTTCATTTTAAATAAGTATATTGCGTGTTGCTGACACTATATCTACCTGTTGTAAAACCGATCCATGGCTGATGGCTGTCCCTTCTCTCGAAGAAGAACCTATCCCCATCCCGAAGTCGCTTAAATTGTTTTGCAAGAATACACTGACCCGTGGGACCCAAAATGCTCCCAGCTGCACGACGCTCACTTAAATGCCCTGTGAATAAGTCAATATCCTCTGGACATCTAAAATAAAACGGCAAGCAATTGTATATCTCGTTTATAAAGTAAGTTACCAATTTCATCACCATATTTACAATAATTTTTTTTAAACAATATATTCACATGTGTACCATGTTGCCTGTCGGACAGATGTTGACACAGTATACATACTAGCGCTTATGTTAAGAATGATAGCGTTATTGAAAATACAAGTCTTTACTGTTTTAAAGCTGCATACCTCCAAATGAGCCAAATATTTCCAGATAATCAAACTAAAAAAAATGTACTGGGAATTTAAGAAAAGTAAAACAGATTCAAGATTCAAGTAATGATTTACATGTATCATATGAACGATTAAAGACTGACTTTGCAGTATTTATCACCGTATTTCTATTGCTTGAATAACGCTGTCAATGATTTGTTTGCATATTTTTTTGTACTTTACGTGGAATGAAACTGCCGAGTGCAAAGTGTAAGTTACTTTCTTTGTTCACTTTATCATTTGTCAAACTTTTCATCAAAATTAGCATGAACCTGGAGGCAAGCTGCTTTAAGTCAAGCTTTACCAAAATAGTTGGCTACAAAGCTTCAGGTAAATCAACCTTTATCTGCTGCCGATAGCAGATTCTACCCATTAGACCCGTGCAGACCGAGATTATCCGTGCAGTCTTATCATGGTTCGCATTGTTCGCTATTTAGTCAGTATGTATCTTGAAACTTGTTTCATACAAACGATCAATGGCTTAGTCCACGGAGGCCGAATAGATCAATGGCTTAGTCCACGGAGGCGGAATAGATCAATGGCTTAGTCCACGGAGGCGGAATAGATCAATGGCTTAGTCCACGAAGGCGGAATAGATCAATGGCTTAGTCCACGGAGGCGGAATAGATCAATGGCTTAGTCCACGGAGGCGGAATAGATCAATGGCTTAGTCCACGGAGGCGGAATAGATCAATGGCTTAAGTCCACGGAAGCGGAATACATAGAGATAAAACAAATATTGTGAATGCATCAGTTAGAGTCAATGAGGATGATAATTCTGATAGAAAAATATTGAAAACTATTTACATACGAGTAAACTTGGCTAAGGAGATCAGCAATATGTGGATCGTGGTCAACAAGTCCTCCATAATCTGTACCAAAATGAGTCACGTCTGAAAGACCACATTGTTTCCTGAATGCATTGTATCCCGGTATGCCATGATCTCTACCTCTGAAACGTATTCGAATATAAATTTGTATGTTTATATGATCTTAATACGAACTGAAGTTGCAATATAGTAAATCTAAGGTAACATAGGCCTATATGAGATATTTGTTTGTTTGTTGTTTTTTTTTTTTGTTGTTTTTTTTTGGGGGGGTGGGTTTCTTTGTATTGCAAGACCACTCGTGACAAATTGGATGTTGTGTTCTCACTCTGTTAAGTATAATTTGATCTTGCATGACAAACAAACACTTTTTCTGATTATTTTTTACCTTTTTAAATCGTGAATAAAGCCATGTAGACTGACCTTCCACGTAAGGTCATGCGATCTTCTTCGTCGAGAAAAAAATCTGTTAACAAAGGTCATCCAAGGGAGAGGCCAGACATGTCCTTTAAAGACAAATGGTCTTTACTTGGAGGTAACTTTTAATAATCAAATAAGGGATTGCCTCAGAGGTGGCCTTTAGCACGGGTTTGGGTGATTTTCACGATAACTGTACTTGTATTTCAATTTATAATTTTCAATTTTAGGTTTTGAACAGTGAACATGTAAAAACGCTTGGCGATGTAAACAGTCAAAGCTACCGAAGCTGGGTCCAGTAAAGGACTTCGACCTTTGATTAACATAAAGTCTGTGATTCCTGTAAAAAGTGTGTTTCAAGACTGAAGAAACATTAACAATATAGTTACGTTCTTATATTCTCAATGTGCCAAATTATTAAGAACACCTATGAATGAATTATAGACAAATCTTTGACAAACATGTATAATTTTTATCTTTGTAGCTGGCGTATGGGCGTGACAATTCTGCTTATTCCCCACACAATTATGCGTAGATATTTCAGAAATCCATCAATAAACGACAGAACTGATGACCAACGCAATCATCAATGTTCTTTTATGAAATTGTACTTTTAACGTGTTAGTGTGTCCTTGACCTTTGAGCTTTCAAGTTGTTCTCACACATCACACTCTGTTTACGTACAACATACTTAAGCCAAGTACTAAATTTTTAAAATTTGTCAATGAATGACAAATATATGGACTTAACATGACCATTAATGTGCTATTATTTTATAACTTTTGACATTAATGTCTGATCTTGACCTTTGACCTCTTATACTAGCACTTGTTCATTACATTTTTTTTCCAAAATTCATACAGGAATAAAACTTATGTACAAAACACGGCCAGTTTTTCACAATCATGACCTTTACCTTTGAGAAGATTTAATAATTCACCGATTATATGACTTACAATAAATAATATATTTTTGTTCATGTGTTTACATACCTTTGCACGTGTTTACATACCTTTGCACGTTTAGCGAGGCTAAATCCATGGAGTCGTTGTTGTGATCTTGGAAGAGCAATGTCTGAACGGCTGGTTCTAAATGTCTGAAATTAAATTAGATGTCTGAACGCCGGGCTTCTAAATTAATGTCTGAAATTAGATTTCATGTCTGAATGTCAATGTCTGAACGCCGGGCTTCTAAATGTCTGAAATTAGATTTAATGTCTGAACGCCGGGCTTCTAAATGTCTGAAATTAGATTAAATGTCTGAATGCCGGGCTTCTAAATGTCTGAAATTAGATTAGATGTCTGAACGCCGGGCTTCTAAATGTCTGAAATTAATTAAATGTCTGAACGCCTTGTTCTAAATGTATGAAATTGAATTAAATTGAATGCCTAGTTCTAAATATCTGAAATTAATTAAATGTCTGAACGCCGGGCTTCTAAATGTCTGAAATTAGATTTAATGTCTGAACGCCTGGCTCTAAATGTCTGAAATTAATTAAATGTCTGAACGCCTTGTTCTAAATGTATGAAATTGAATAAAATTAAATGCCTAGTTCTAAATATCTGAAATTAATTAAATGTCTGAACGCCGGGCTTCTAAATGTCTGAAATTAGATTTCATGTATGAATGCCTGGCTCTTAATGTCTGAAATTAATTAAATGTCTGAACGTCTTGTTCTAAATATCCAAAATTAGATTAAATGTCTGAACGCCTGGCTTTAAATGTCTGAAATCAAATTCTATTTGATATACAAAAAACGGTCTTTACGGCAGCCAAACAATTTACTGAAGTGATCTAGGCGTATGTGTCTCTTAACAGGGTGTCCTTTAAAGATGAAAATGGGATTTGGTTTTACAGACAAGCTGTCAAGATTTCTTATCTATAAAATGCTATTTTACAACGATTATTGTACTTGCAAGAATCGTACCTGTCACTGAAGGGACACTGGGTTGAACTTGTCCATAGCAGAACTTGCTCTAATCCATAGCCGTCATTAGTATGGTAAAGCTCTGGGTCGAAAAATAAGTTATGTAAACGTCTTCGTGAATCAAACTCCTGCCCGTCATTAGCCATCATGGAAACCTCTCTATGTATGAGGGTATGACCAAAACGAAGACCAGCAACCGCGAAACTGTTAGAAATAGTAGCATCAACTAGAGGACTGTAAGTGTCTTTATATCCATAATGCTGAAAATATTTATTTATTTATTTAAATAAAAATTTATTCATTTATATATTCATTTAAATAAAAATGCATTAAAAAATTATTTATTTATTTATTTTAAATAAAAATTTATTTATTTTTATATTCATTTAAATGAAAATTTATTAATTGATTAATTAATTAATTAATTAATTAATTTATTAATTTATTTATTTATTTATTTATTTATTTATTTATTCATTTATCTATTTATTTATTTAATTTTTTTATTTATTTATTTCATTGGTTTGTGTGAAATTTGCCGATACGAGGATTGAGAATGTTAACTGGATTAGAAAGAATAAAAAGCATATCCTATATATTATAGCATTTGTGAAGACTTAGCTCAATGTCCCTCCCACCATCACCCTGGGGATTTGGCTAGTATGTAGAGGTCATCTGAGATGTGGATATCAACTTAAAAAAATTTTAGTGAAAATCGCCCACACATTGACTTGTTTCCTCCTCAGGAAAACTAGTTTATTTCCAAACGCCCTTCTACAATAAGCATTTACCCTTGTTAAATTTTTGAACCCCTCTTAGAAAAAAGTCATGGAGCCGCACTTGTAATTCTAAATGCAAGGCCAGTTTTTACGAATGAACGGACTGACGGGCGACATTATGTTATGGTGTTATTTCTTTGATCTCGAAAACTACCATAAGCAAAATTTTCGGATCTCATTAGCAATTTTTTACCCCCTTAATAAGGCGTAATTTGGTATAAAACCATGAAATCAACTTGTGCATTGACGCATACACCTTACTCATAAAGAAGGGCGTTCGGATGTCCGGACGGACAAATAGACAGGCGGACGGATGGCTACCTTCCCCTTTACCTGCAATTATTTATGATAATAATAATAATAATAATATTTTCATTATTTCTTATCAGAAGGTAGCACATTAAACTCACAGGGACCCAGCACAGTGTTGGGATAGTGTAAAAAATCATTCAAGAAAGAAATATATACTGTATATATAATATAGTCTATATATTATATATACAGTATATATTTTTTTTCTAGAATGACCTTTTCACACTATCCCAACACTGAACTGGGTCCCCGTGATTAAATTTATAGAAATTTAGGCACAAGCGTATAAATATTTACTGATAGCCTACAACAGATAAGCATTTATAGTCAGTAATGATGATAATAATTTTCTTAAGCTCAACTTACCGCAATATCCAAGTTATATTCTCTCATAACAAGAGGCCCGAGTATTAATGGTAGATATTCGGAGTATACTATATTCTGCCACTGGGCAATGTTTATCTTCCTCGCTTCCTGATACAAGCGTTCATCTTCCCAGTGAGGATTAACGGCAGATAATCCCTCTGCCAGGCGGTTATGTTCGCGCATTAGAATTGTATGTATGGATGAAAGGCCGGGTTGTTCGTTCACTCGTTCGTCCCCTAGTGATATTACAATCATTATTACATCATATAACAACAAATATTGATTACCTTGCATAGTTTTACTAGTACAGTTTAACAATATTACTAGTGCAGTTTAACAGTGATAACCTTTTACCCCATGAGCATATTGCGAAAAATGGCCGTTTTCATTGAAAAGCCTCCTGTAACAAGTTCAAACTGCTATGAAACTATGAAAAAATGCTTCACTACTGATGAAACTTGGCACAAGTGTTGACTAGACCATAGCCTCTGTATCATAAACTTCCTGTTACCATGGCAACGGGGGACGTCTCAAAATTGCCAACAATCACTATTTTTGCATTGTTTTTTCTCAATGAATTGAGAAGGGGGGGGCAAATCCCCCTTCTGGCAACCCCCTGATGTAACATTGGCTGGGGGCGCCGCAAAAAAGTGGTCACTTTTTAAACAACATTTCTCAATCGAAAAACAGTGATTGGGGCCTAAATAGGGTATTTTTTCACTGTTTGAGGCCTCAAAAAGGGGGGGGGGGCAAAAAGCCGTCGAAACACGCTTATATAAGGGAAAAGGTTAACAAATATGAAATTAGAAAGGAACATAAGAAAAAAGAAAGAAAAAAGTAGTTTTATAAAAAGTTGCTGTTATAAAGTGGCATATATTTTCTTCGAGTTATGCCCCTTCTCGGAAGAAAATTTCTATCACTTGCAACTCCGAGATTTTATTTGAAATACAGTAGTTTTATTTAGTTCAACAATAGAAGGAACATAACTATTCTAATTAGAAACATTTCATAGCCACCCCCTCCCTATACAGGTATTTGAAAAATGAACTTCTTGCTTTTAATGATTGATGCTGTCATAATATACCTGATCTTCTAGCAAATTAATACATTTATAGTTTTAATAAAATCACAGTGACATCGACACGCGAACTAATTTGTATAGTTACATGTAGCACATAACAGGCTGTCCAGCATCCCTAAAATTCCTAAGAAATCCTTTTTTTAGTTTGGCTAAAATTCCTAAAAAATAAAAAAATTCAAGGCGATTCCTAAAAATGCCACATTTTCTCACTTGAATTCCTAATTATGTTCATCTTTTGTTATAAACATACTTATAACTTTGAAAATGTTTTCATTTTATTTCTGTTTTAAAGCTCTTTTATAGCCATAATCTATGGTGTACAATACCAGACAAACATTGACGAACAGCCTATAACATTAACACATTGATATGGCCCTGTGACATATGTCACGGCCAGGGGCGGCAAATTGAGTTGTCCGTATTGTCCAAGTTGTCCCACAGTCTGTTCGGACAAGTTGGAATTTTGAGGAATGTGCCATATAAATATCATACGGACGCGTTCAGAAATGGATGAAATTATTACATAAAAACGGTCAAGTATGTAAAATTCAGATTTTGCCGGCCCCGGTAATTGCGTTGGCGCATTGTTAAATATGTATGTAAATATTGTCAAATATAAGTTTAAATAGAATAAATTTATACCAGATCGTGTACAATAATTGTGTGGAATATCTTGTGGTTGTCTAAGTTCACAAAGTTCGTCTTTCGGATCAACCGCTAGCTTAGAATTACCTACGCTCTTCAATTTACCTGTAAAAATGATAACTCAATTTAGTTTATACAGAATCTAATAATAATTCACTTTGATTGTGCTGGAAGCTTTAAAATTATAGGACCATTCTCCAGTCAGTTCTTGAAATAAAAGTATAGAATAAAAAACAAATGCTTTTCAATGAGTGTAAAGTTTCTTCCTCAAGAAAAAATACGGCATGACCCTATCGGGGTTTGAACCAAGGCACTCGGCAATATATTATAAATTAAGCTTTTAATATTTGAGCCGCGTCACGACAAAACCAACATAATGGGTTTCGACCAGCATGGATCCAGACAAGCCTGCTCATCCGCTCAGTCTAATCAGGATCCCTGCTGTTCGCTATCAATTTCTTTACTTGTTATAGGGTCTGTAAGCGAACAGCATGGATCCTGATTAGACTGCGCGGATGCGTAGGCTGGTCTGGATCCATGCTGGTCGCAAACACATTATCAATACAGTATGTTTATACAATAAGTCCGACGAGTTATTACCATCCAGGCCTCATACAGGGTAGAAATAAAGACAAAATATCCACTTAAATGTCATAACACAACCCTTTTTAAGAGCGGTAAAGCCGCACTAATGAAGAGATAAAAGAGTAATCCTGTCAAATTCTTTTTAAGGGAACTCCACTGAGGTCAAAAGGCCTAAAAATAAAAATGAAAATTTTAACATTAATCAAGTGAAGCAACTGCAAAAAAAAATCTGAAAAGAATTCGGGAAAATTTTGTGATCAGAATTTAATCGAAAATCAATTTTCTGTGCGATTTTAAGCCCGATTTGAAAGAAAAACGTTTAAACGTTTTTCACTTTTGGATTATTTTGCAAAATATAATGATGGTTGTGTGAAAAAAACGGGGAGAGGGAATGGTCTGAAAATAGGCACAAAACTTATTGGTCTAGACATAGATCGAATTGGGAAAATATTTTTCAAGTCCCGTCAAGTCAAAAAGCCTCAGTGGAGCCCCTTTAATTTACAAGTAATAAGTATAAGAAATTCATGTGATTCACAGTATAATAAATATAATTTGACAATATTAGCATTTTAAGTTTTTGTGACACACTTACCTCCTTCAAATAGTCTAAGACTGTCGGATTTCTCTTTAGTTTCTGAGTATATCATAGACAGATCAATATAGGAAGTCTGGGAGTTTGTTTGTTGACGTACATCTGAAAAGTTATTTTATTCTGTTTTTCTGTAGTTTTCTACTAAACTTGAATTTCGATATTACAAACGTTAAATGAATGACAAAGAGTCATTCAATAATGTAAAAATAGCTTTTTATGCCATTTCATATGAAACGGCATCCCTTGGATTGAAACCGTTATATTTTCATAATAATATTTTCATAATTATACTCTTAGGTACAAAATATAAAAAAAGGCTTTAAAATAATAAAGTGATATGTATCATGAATACTAAAGAGGGAGAGGTGTGGGTTATGAGTTCAAAGAATTTGCTCATATTTATCTAACTTGCAGTAAAACAAGATAAATTACTTCAATGTTGGCTGAATAGACGGGTATACTTTATGTTTTTCATAAGAAGGATGTCTGAATCTGGACAAATTACGCATTATAAAAAAATAATAGAAAATAACTTACCATCACAATCTCTTCTAGCCAAAGATCTTCCAAAGCTCATGCATCCACCAGGTACAAAATAGGGGTCATCTAATGGAATATTTATAGGGAAACATTCAGGGCTGTTCGTAGAAACAACAAAACATAGATTAAAAAAAAGTGCCATCTTTGTGTGGTTAAAGAAGTATGCATGTTTAATAGAAACATTAATAATCAGTAAATGGTGACGTGGCCGAGTGGTATAGTAATCTAAGGATCGCTTGACATGTGGTTTCAAATCCTGTCAGGGGCAAGTCGTTGTTTCCTTGAGCAAAGAACTTTTCACTCATTGCCTCGTACTGGTTGGTTCCAGGAAGGTTCCAGGAACGTATTCGAGACTGTTTCATAAGCTTATAGCTTCTAACATAAACGAGCTAAAATTTTGTATACACAAATGTTCTAAATAAGCTATAGATATTATTTAGTACTCATTAGCCGAGGTTTCAAACCTCGTTAGGGGCAAGTTATTTCCGTGAACTAGAAACTTACCACTCACTCATACTTAGTATTGGAACAGATTCCTTAGTATATTTTATTACTTATAAAAATTTTGACAGGTTGTATGGAAAAAACTGTTTATATATGGCCATAAAACTGACAGGATAGTAATTACGAATTTTTTATACAGCGAGCTTCATTTTTCAGAGAAAAAGTGAGGTTTTTTCATATATTCACAGCAGCTTTACATAAGATACTATAAATTTATTAACGTCACGATTATCCAATGAAAATCTACGTTACAAACGTGAAGCATTATGAATACCCTTATACATGTACCTTCTTACAGAATCGAACTAAAATAAATACTGTATAATAAATAAACCAACAAAAAAACTCGACAGAGAACTCGATAAATGTAGTAAAAATAATTGTCCCGTGATATTTTTTTTCGGTTTTGAACGACAAAATAACGCACGTTTTTGAAGAGCTTTCGTCAAAGGTCTATGAGCCTCTTGAAAAAGATACATTCATTAACTAAACAACATCAACGATTACTTACTTTTCTCTATCGTCCATACAGCATTGAAGGTTCTCTCCATCAGGTCCTATAAAATGTATGAAAATTACTGTAGCAATAATCATCAACAATAGGGCTTTATGTGCTTCCAGCACGAAGAGGACTAAGTAAATTAGTAATCATCAATACATTACTAAATTTAAAATTTGAGTAATGATAACTTTCCCCGTGCGGGCCAGAAAGTTTCATCTTTTTTTAGTTGGAGACAGGAGACGTAAATAAAGTTACCAGAAAACGATTGTGTTTAGTACACTTCTGCAGTAGTTACATTACAACTGTTACAAAGATGTCAGAAATACAAAATTAACAAAGTGAGCCGAATATAACAACCAAGTTTACATTAATACCCATTCGGATTTCAGAGCAAAGATGACAGAAACTCACAAACTTCCTACATCTGATAATATTTTGCTATGAATGTATATGCTTATCCAACCAACTTAATATACTTTAAGAATAAATCTGGAGAAAAATTTCGATAGGCGATGTTATTTTAAAGTCCAACCACAATTTTTATAACAAGTAACTTGTTTGTCCAGAAAGTAGTGGTAAGAAAGCTGTATCAAAAGCACGTAAGAGGAAATGAATACCATCATTACTTGTGACACATTTTTATCAAATGTTTGTTCACTTACTTTTAATAAGTTCAGTTAGAACAACGTCATGAGCGAGAAACTGTCCAAATTGCATCATCATGTAACTTAACCGTTCATCAAACACCATATTGTCGTCTGCTCTGTGTATAATATTACTTATATGGCGTGGACTCGGCAGTTTGCCGCTGCAGCCTATTGTCCGTGGGCTACCCTTTGCTAGATCAAATATAAGCGTTTTATTATACATGTATGTAAAAGGTAAAATATATTCTATCAAATTTTAAAAATAAGGAGACATGATTCACTATTTTACTTACTGAACATTTGGGTTTATCATACGCAAAGCTGAAAGCTGTACCATAAAAAAAACCTTAAAATTATTTGCTTCCTTTTAGTTATCATTAGAATACATGCAGATCTAGACTATTTCACCAACCAGTCTTACATGTATATCTTTTTTTCTTTTCCCCCATCACGGCCGAGTGGTGAAAGTCACTGACATTTAGTGAATTGCCCTGGCCGCTGTTGGTTCGTATGTCGACAGAAATTTTGGATTCTTTTATATAATATATAAGGAACCTATTCAGCTAGCTCTTCTTCTTTGTCTCGGATTTTTTCATTGGTCAGTGCACTTTATGCGTCAGTTTCTGACCAATGAAATACTTGAAATCTTGTAAATGATATTTACCGTCATCGTAAGCATTTGGCAAGTCCCTTCTTTGAGCCCTATGTGACTTGCCCCATAAAGGGTTGAGCATATTATTACATGAGCCGTCTATGGTGCGGTATTCGTATTCGGGCGAGCAAAAAGTCGTCTGCGTGTTACATTCAGATTCTAATGAATGTGACGAGCGTCGTTTTCTCTGTTTTCTTAATGGACATTGTAAATCTAAAAATGCTGGATCACATCTGAAATTGATTTAATATCAGCAAATAATATTTTATATATTATTGTATATAAAATAAAATCTTGTTACGAGTCCAAGTACATTTATTATTATAAGTAGTAGTAGCGTTTCATCGGACATTCAAACAGCTAAATTCAAATATAATTTTGGTGTACTTGAACTTTTTTGAAGAAACAAATACGAACGTCTTGAATTCTCGGGTTCATCTATACGAATGCACAATTTCATCTCCATGAATTCGCGAAATTGTGATTTCGCGAAACTGAACTAACGAAGTTAAAATCGCGAATTTGTGAAATCCGCATGTTGAAAGCATGAATTCATAAAATTAAAATTATGAATTCACGAAGATGAAATCGGGAATTTATGAAGTTGAAATGTCCCCCCCCCCCCCACACCGGTCTGTCGTAGTTAAATATGCAAATTTCCCAGTTTCAATCATATACATATGTGCATTATTGATTGATTGATTGATTGATTGATTCATTCATTAATTCATTCATTCATTCATTCATTCATTCATTCATTCATTCATTCATTCATTCATTCATTCATTCATTCATTCATTCATTTATAATATTGCATCAATAAACTCTATACAAGAGTAGTTGTAAGTATTTTCTACATGAATTCACTTATATTTTGAATTAAAGAATATACAATGCGTCTATACAAAAAAACAATGCGTCTATACAAAAATACAATGTGTCTATACAAAAATACAATGTGTCTATACAAAAATACAATGCGTCTATACAAAAATACAACGTGTCCATACATGTACATTGTATATATTAGAATGACTGAGGTGCCTTACCCATATATTCCAACATAAGTCATGATTGCATTGCATTTCTTATTACATTTCTCTCCATGTGAAATACCATGTTTATCTACACAACTGTACGGCTCGGAAATTTCTCCTGAAAAAAATATAATTGAATAATAAATAGTATTATTTTATTGAAGTTTGTCTTAAGGCAAAATATCTAATGCTTAATAATTTTATCATTTGCTTCAGAGTATATTTATTATTATGTTTAAACTCGAACTATGTGATACAATGCTGTAATTCTAGTCGGTTTTAAAATAATTGCAATCTAACTGCGACAATATTTAATTGAAAGTATTTATTTACACTGGATATTGGCCCTATATGGCATTTACCACCAACACAGGGGACAGACAACAATGGAAAAAAGAGTCTCTCTTGTTCTTGTTCTATCCTTAGTGCTGGCGTGCACGTCACGGCTTATTTATTCTCATGTATGTTTTAAATATTTGAACCATCCATGTTGTGTTTAATGTCCATTATATGTATTCTATACCGAAATAAATTTATCTATCTATTTATTTATACAACACTTATAATGTATCAAATGCAACATTTAAATGCCTTCGGTTAAAATGTATACTGAAACTTAAAATGAAAAGAAGAAGCTGTGGTCACTATGAAAATTAACCACAGCTTTTTTTTTTCATTATGTTGTCTATGTACAATTTTTTAGATAAATAAAGTTAGGACTTTTTTCATACGTGTCTGACTTTGTCATATTAAAAAAATCATTTACTAGGAATGATGGAAAATTATTAACAACAGAATGTCTTACCTTTATAAAACTTGTGTATTGCTTCTTGTTCGGCATCTTGGCATGTATCCGCTAAGCAGGAGATAATTTGGACGGAAAGACACAGCAAACTGATAGTGAAAGTATGTAGAAATAGATGACATCTTCCCATCGTATGCTTATTTTAACCTGTACAAAGGTAAGAAGGAAAATGATAATTCAATAAAAAAATTATATAATTAAGACTCTATACTGTTGCTCCTATATTTCAATATTTTCATTGATATCGCATATAATGATTTAACGAAGTTCCTTCATGTATTTTCTATAAAATGAAAGAAAGCACAAAACGTTTTTATTTGTGAAAGTTCCTGATAATTTTCGGATTTTTTACAAAAAAAATTATGTAAGAAAAGAAAAGAAACGAAAAGAAGAAAATCCCTGCTGATTCACTGCGAAGAAGCTTTTTCCAATATTCCTAGTTTTCCACCCCCATAATGTCCCCTATGCCCCTATTAAATTCAGATTACTGTTATGATCCGTTCAGGAAAAAAAGGCATTGTTGCTTAGTAAAATTATCATTAAATGAATCAGATTGTTAAATAGATTTCTCCAAGAACGACTGTTTGTTGTTGTTGTTGTTGTTGCTGTTTTGGTAATTATAACAGTCATACAGGCGTGTATGGTTTAGAAACATATAAAATACCCTCTGATGTTAATGTAAATGTATATCGTTAGTAACACTCAATGACTGATAAAGAAAATATTACCATGACAGAGGTATGCATACATGTAATTATAAACTACACCCCCCTTATATCCCTTTGCATTGCTTTCACCCTTTCCGAATAATAACAATTCGCAAGGCAACACACTTTTTCATCTAGCATTTGTTTATACATGCAATCACTTTTCTTGTGTTTTATTTCCCCTACTTTAAACACATTCTGAAAGTGCGGATACTTTCTGCCTTTCCTGTCTTATACACATTCTTAATGTGCGGGTTTTTTTTTGCCTTTCCTATTTTATACACATTTTGAATGTGCGGATCTTTTTTTGCCTTCCCTATTCTATACGCATTTTTAATAAATGGATCGTTTGTCTTTCCAATTCTATACACATTTTGATTGTGCGGATCTTTTCTGCATGTCCTATTCAATACACATTTTGAATGTGCGGATCTATTTTTTGCCTTCCCTACTCTATACACATTTTGAATGTGCGGATCTGTTTTGCCTTTTCTATTCTATATATACGCATTCTGAATTTGCGGAACCTTTTTTGCCTTTCCTATTCTATACGCATTCTTAACGTGCGAATACATTTTTATTTCCTATTCTATACGCATTCTAAATCTGCGGATTCATTTTGCCTTCCCTGTTTTATACGCACTCTGAATTTGCGGATCATTTTGCCTTTCCTTTTCCATATAAACTCTTTATGGATGGATACTTTAAACGTATATTTTGCCGTTTCTGTTTTATACACACCCTGAGTGTGGATACTATTTTCTTTTACCATTTTATACGTATTCAAAAGGTGAGGATAGCTGGATACCGTTTTTCCTTTTCCTTATTAATGCGCATCCCAAATGTGCATTACATTTTGCCTAGTTTGAATGTGTGGATATTTTTTACCTTTTAGATTTTATACACATTCTGAATGGATCATTCATTCTAGATACGTTACCTGCTTCTTTTAATCTCAACCTTTCTCTTACACATGCTCCGAACTCCCATCTGACACTTGATGGTGAATTTCACCCAACCAAAACTTCAAATTTCACATACGAAATATCTTATGTTTTAAATGCTATAGCATTTGTAATATTCTTTAAAAAATAAAAATGTATCGTAAACTGTGATATACTGTGCTCAATTTGATCTAAAAAAATGTTGACAATTGCTACACAGTATCTTTGTAAATATAACATTGACACGTTTTGACTTGATACAAAGTAGATATAATAAGAATTGTACACACTTTAGTAGGTCACAATATGAATGTACAGCGTCATTAAAAAACTGGCAGTTTTTTTTTTAAAAAAAGGGCCAACTTTACATGTCTAGTTATAGGGGACGCAGCATTCTATACTCATTTTATTCATATTTTTATTCAATTAGACACATTCATTGAAGGGGCTTCACTAAAGTTTTTTGACATAACGGGGCTGGCGATTATTCTCCAAGATTAATGTTCCATTTGATGAAGTTCATAACTAAAAGCTTGTGTTCGAAACTTCAAATCATTCGCTCACTCCATTTTCCAGAAAAAATATTCTAATGGCAAAGAGTGACCCAAAATTGGAAAACGTTCCACGCCACGCTTTTCACTCAAAACGGGCGAAGAATAGCACAAATATATGATTTCCATTTATTTCTGAGTATATGTCTTAACTATATTTTGCATTTCTTTCTGTTTTAAATGCTACAATTGATCTATATCAAAAATTCAAATTTTATGATTTTCAGACCTTAGTGGAATTTCTTTACTTAACACAAAAATTACATGTAACAACATTTTTCGTTTCAAAATGTTTGAACATTTTTTTTTTGCCAATGTGAAATTCATATAATACTCTCACAATAAGTAAAAAGGAAAAATGAAATGCACAAAAAAATAATAGAATGGCACAGCCTAGCATATTATCCACAAAAATAAGTGAAAAGATAAAATAAAATGGCTTAACCTTAATCTAATAATCCAGAATGAATCTGTCAGTTCCCGTGTCCATACCGTCTTGGCGGAACTATATGATAACTCAGGAGTGTTTAGCGGAAAACCGTCGTATATAAAACATAGCAAAGTGAATAGCCATCGGCTGTATAAATGTGTGTACATGCCTTTATAAATTTTCTAATAAAAAAGAAACTGATGATATAATAAAACCTATATTTACATCAGTGGGTTTTAGAAAAAAAATGTTTACCGACGTTGAAGGTTTGAATATATGGTTCACTGTTTAAATATCGAGGTGTTCTTATATGAAGATGTATTTCTGTTAATAACTTTCTACTAATACTATGACGTAGAATTTAAGTATTTATTAACATGTTAAGATAAAAGATTATTGAATGCAATTTTTATTTCTTTTTCTTAAATAACAAATCCATTCATATACATATATCATATATATACATACATGCACATTTCAAGATATCATTGTAATACACTTTTATTCATACTATTCTCTTAAACTGTGTTCACTATTTTGTTTTAGTTGTGTAATGCATACAAATAACAATCAAAAGCTGAGACTTTTGTAATTACCGCTATATTGTGAATAGTTTAAACTTCAAAATACAGTCTAATATGGATGCACATTGTACTCTGTTTCACCAACAGGATATTTAGCACTAATTTAATGCCTATTCATTCACTGAAAAATTGGGCTGCAATTCAGTAACACTATTCTTCAGAATTGAAAGATTTTTTTAAAAATTTATTCGAACGAGTACTCAGTTCTAGCAAAAGTTCCCACTCTGTTATATTTCCGATAGCTCGGCTTATTTCCGCAACTCAGCAGGTGTCGTGTTTTCGTACAAGTTTAACGTAAGCACACGTGACAGGTGAATTGTTAGTTTTGGATTCAGGCCTTATATAGTTTTTGCTTATTTATAACATTTTCTTTTTGCTTATTCATAACAGATATGCATTATTCCGTATTCGTATGTGGTTATTATAGTATCATACACACTCTAAATGAATGCATAGTTGATTTGCAAAAGAGACACACATAAAAAATCGACAGACTGTAACCCAGGCTAGTGAAATGTCACAGCCAGCCAGAAACAAGTGCGAATAGGTCACTTTAGGGAGCGAACTTTGTGGTTACATAACACATTTAGAATTTAAATATAGAAGATGATATACACGGTGATATTAATGCGACATATATGCAGATAGTATAGTGTTTCATCATATGATGATGATAATTCATTTGATGAACTTGATGGTATATTCAATTGTACTCTTGAATATATTTGTAATAGTCATTTTCGTGCAAGTCATATTTCTCTATCTAAAAAAAAATGAAATGTTTAAATTATCAGAATATATTGGTTTCTTTGTGAAACATAATGCAGGTTTGGGGAAAAGGTACTGCCGTAAACTGGGGACCTTTTATGTCCTCAATATGCCGTAAGTGTAAACATACACACACCCGTGTCAGCATGACACAACAGGGCCTTAAGTATTGTGAAAACCCTCAATTAAGACCGCCACTGGGACTGGTCCAAAGTGGTCTTAATTGCGGGGTGGTCTTAAATGTGAATATTCTTATTGCTTACATATTTTATGACCACGGTGTATTTTAGTCATGTTGCATGAACAAACAATATGTATCTTAACAATGTGTCATAATATTTAACCTGATTAGAGGTAGATATATTTCTGAAGAAATTTAACATTAAATTCTCTTTGGTCTGATTTCAATATAATTACTATTATGATGCACATAGTTCAACTATCAAAGTTAATCACAAAATAAATGTGCTGAAAGCAACATTATATTAAACCACTCTAAAATTTACTTTCTCACCTTATTTCATACAAAAACCCACATAACAACAGTTTTTCACACCTTGTGAAATCAAGTGTCATGCCTAAAAGCATTCAAGCAGATGATAACAACAAATTCAAGAATTAGGTAGGTGTTAACTTTAATATCAGTGGTCTCAATAGTGGGGTCCAACAAAGAATAAAACAATGAATTGGGACTGAATCTGGTGGTCTCAAAAGTGGATAAGCGAGGTGGTCTTAATTCTGGATAATGGTACCATTGATATAAGGAACAGAACATTCCGTTCTTTTAAAAAATGGTCTTAATAGCGGGGTGGTCTTAATTCCGGGGTGGTCTTAAGGAGGGATTCTACTGTACTCAATTGATGTTGGTGCATATGCACAGGAGTGAATTGATGTGATGTGACAGATGATTGGAAGTGTATATGCTTGCTTGCGTGTGTGTGGGCGAATTAAGTTAAAAAAAATTTAACAATACAAATTTTTAAGAATTGCATTTGTTTGTGAGAAAGGGGGTATTCTGATTTTAAAAATCTTTTTCATAGTTTTTAAAATAGATAAAATGATTAAATAATTAGACACGCCCTTTATCAATTATAATACATGTAATAATAATATATGCTAAAATTTCAGAATATTTCAAGTCTCCAAAAACAAGTAAAGCCCATTTGTACATACCACTGCCTTCTTTTGAATATATATATCCGAGCTCATTTATCCAAATAAATACTAGTAGGATAAATTTTAGTCGTTGTGGTCAGTTGGGTCAATTACTTTCCCTATATGTATTGTAGTAGAAGCTTTTAATAGTTTCTAAAATATTGTCTACAGCAGATAGATACTTTATTTCCTTCAATGTACATGAAGAGCTGAACATATATACAAACATATAACTACAAAAATTAACAAAACAGTTTAACAGCTAGATACAATAATAACATGTAGTCAAATATATAACTGTAAACATAAAGCAATATCAATTTACAGAAAACAGCAATTCAGAAATCAATATTTCTAGAAGCTTACTCATATTTAAGGTAAATAGATAAATATGTAAGCTATGATAACAGACACATAGATAATTATACTAGCAACCTCTGAAACTTCAAGCCTTACCGCAGAATGCACAATAACTTGGCTAAACAATCAACAATCAACAATCGACATTCAATGTCTAGCTAGACAATCAACATTCAGCTCAACATTCGATCTATAATAATAATCAAACAATTCTCAAAGTGAATGTTGAGCTAGACAATCAACAATCAGCTAGACATTCGAAAATTTCTTATGTCGAGCTAGACAATCAACATTCAGCTAGACATTCGATAATTTCTTATGTCGAGCTAGACAATCGAGATTCAGCTCAACATTCGATCTATAATAAAAATCAAAGAATTGTCAAAGTGAATGTTGAGCTAGACAATCGACAATCAGCTAGACATTCGATAATTTCTTATGTCGAGCTAGACAATCGACATTCAGCTCAACATTCGATCTATCAAAAAAATCAAAGAATTTTGCAAAGTGAATGTTGAGCTAGACAATCGAACAATCAGGCTAGACATTCAGAAATTTCTTATGTCGAGCTTAGACAATCGACATTTTCAGCTCAACATTCGATCTATAATAATGATCGAGGTTTTTTCTTAAAGTGAATTTTGAGCTAGACAATCAACAATCAGCTAGACATTCGATTAATTTCTTTATGCCGAGCTAGACATATCGACATTCAGCTGCAACATTCGGATCTATAATAAAAATCAAAGAATTTTCAAAGGGAATGTTGAGCTAGACAATCGACAATTCAGCTAGACATTCAGAAATTTCTTATGTCGAGCTAGACAATCGACATTCAGCTCAACATTCGATCTATAATAATGATCGAGGTTTTCTAAAGTGAATGTTGAGCTAGACAATCAACAATCAGCTAGACATTCGATAATTACTTATGTCGAGCTAGAAAATCGACACATTCAGCTCAATATTCGACTTGTAATAAATATCAAAAGTATTCTTAAAATCAATGTTTAGCTAGACAATCAACAATCAGCAAGACATTTGAAAAATGTCTTCTTATGTCGAGCTAGACAATCAACATTCAGCTCAACATTCGACCTGTAATAATTATCAAAGTATCCTTAAGGTGAATGTTGAGCTAGACAATCAACAATCAGCTAGACATTCGATAATTTCTTATGCCGAGCTAGACAATCGACATTCAGCTCAACATTCGATCTATAAAAAATTCAAAAGAATTTTCAAAGGAATGTTGAGCTAGACAATTCGACAATCAGCTAGACATTCAGAATTTCTTATGTCGAGCCTAGACAATCGACATTCAGCTCAACATTCGATCTATAATAATGATCGAGGTTTTCTTAAAGTGAATATTGAGCTAGACAATCAACAATCAGCTAGACATTCGATAATTACTTATGTCGAGCTAGACAAATCGACATTCAGCTAAACATTCGATCTATATAATAATAATCAAAACAATTCTCAAAATGAATGTTGAGCTAGACAATCAACAATCAGCTAGACATTCGAAAATTTCTTATGTCTAGCTAGACAATCAACATTCAGCTCAACATTCGACCTGTAATAATTATCAAAGTATCCTTAAAGTGAATTTTGAGCTGGACAATCAACAATCAGCTAGAACATTCGATAATTTCTTATGTCGAGCTAGACAATCGACATTCAGCTCAACATTCGATCTATAAAAAAATCAAAGAATTTTCAAAGTGAATGTTGAGCTAGACATCGACAATCAGCTAGACATTCAGGAATTTCTTATCTCGAGCTAGACAATCGACATTCAGCTCAACATTCGATCTATAATAATGATCGAGGTTTTCTTCAAGTGATTTTGAGCTAGACAATCAACAATCAGCTAGACATTCGATACATTTCTTATGTCGAGCTAGACGAATCGACATTCAGCTCAACATTCGACTTGTAATAAATATCAAAGTATTCTTAAAATCAATGTTTAGCTAGAGCAATCAACAATCAGCTAGACATTTGAAAATTTCTTATGTCGAGCTAGACAATCAACATTCAGCTCAACATTCGACCTGTAATAATTTATCAAAGTATCCTTAAGGTGAATGTTGAGCTAGACAATCAACAATCAGCTAGACATTCGATAATTTCTTATGCCGAGCTAGACAATCGACATTCAGCTCAACATTCGATCTATAGATAAAAATCAAAGAATTTTCAAAGGGAATGTTGAGCTATGAC